AGGTGTCAGATTGCAGTACATCATATGATAGCCAGTTCTTGGCTTGTCCAATTATCTCACAGTTTTAAAGGACATCACATGAAAAACACCAAGCAACAGTATGACAGGTGCCAAAAATGTAACTAATGCAATCACCAAATGTGTACACAAATCTGCTGTAATGCAACTCCATCATAATATATACAGTTACTCGGACCATTATAGGTTGCAAGACATAATAATAATCCAATAATAAAAAACTATATCATCCTACTATCCACACTATCATATACTAGTACTGATATTTGCATGATCAAAAGCTCTAAATTCACTCTCACTACTAACAACAATCACAATGCCACTCCCATTTACATAAAAAAATGATGGGATTGCTTCAATTGTCATCGAAAACCATGGAATATTCTAACCAACAAGGTATAAAAGCTTACAAAATTTTAGGTGTCAAATCTACCCTAAAGTAAACACAACGAATTTGTGTAAACATACATGAAACAAGGAGGGTAAAATGCTAAGTCTATACTAGCCGACACGAAATCAGGTAAGAGATTACAAATCTCAATAACTAAAGCAATTAATGCAATAATTCTAGGTTTGTGAGACTATTTGATATTACGTACAAATCCTGAACTGCCATGGCTGAGTATAATGAAGGCCAGTTTTTAATTTATCCTAGTCCTCCTCCTCTTCTCCTTCTCTGCCTCCTTATACTCTTCTTTCTCCTCCTCCTTTTCTTCTCTACTACCACTGCGGTTGCCGCTTCCTCATATTCTGAATCAGATATGATGATGATGAACAATAGGGAATAGGCTTCCTTGCTAAAGACACCTAACTGACTTTATTTTTCAACATGAAACCATCAGTCACATTCAGGTAAGAGTTAACAATATTGTCTTACTACTGCATGAGCGCTCACGTAAGCACTTGGCCAACAGAAAACTAGCTAGACTAGATTCTAGATTGTGATATTTAGGACACTAGCTAGATTTTATATGAAAAGAAATAAAATTTCATGCTATAAATCAAGAGAAAACATATTACAAAATGAACGAGGTAATTTCACTAACCAAACTGTAATGGTTCCTGCCTGAATCACAATTCAGAGTTCTGCAGAGCAGGGAGAAAAAAGGTATGCTCCAAGGTCGATTGACTCAAACCAACCATATCCTCAAGAAAAATTAGACAAATGAATACAAGTTCAAGCTCTGGATTAGACTCTTAGGATAACATGATAACCAAGGAATTCCTTTTTCCAACAAGTAATTAGCAATTACATATGCTTCATTTGGTCTCTTTCCGAAGCTTTGAGTTGATTGATATTTAAGAATCCAAAGCAGCATAATTCTGATAATAGTACAAATAAGTGCATTTTAAATGACAAGCAGTGAAAATTATTAAAGTGGGCCAAAGACTAACCTGGTCATCCGAGTACCTCTCAGAATGAGAGGATACTGATCCCGAACTCTCGGTCTCACCAGGGCTCTTCTCTGGTGATTTGCGCTTCCACAGCCAACTCCGAGGGTCCATTCTACAATGTCAAGCATCAAATGAATCAACAGCACCTTGTTTGCATAGTTCACCACCACCTCCCCAATTCCAGAGTAGCTCAAGATCCCAAAAATTTACGCCTCGCAGAACACACAATTCCTACAAACACACAGAAGCAGTGATCCAGGATCGGACAGCCGTTACTCCACTGACCATAATTAAACCTAAATTGAACGGAAAACACAATAAATAGCAAAATGCAGCTAGAAAGACACAAATATAATCCATCCCTTACTAAAACACAGCAAAAGTAAATATTTCTTGTTAACCATGGCCATGAACTTCAACATAAAACAGTCAGAATCATCCAAGATTCGATCTTTCCAAGACAGCAGAACAGAATGATAATAAAATGACAAACGATTAGAAACCAGAAAACCCCAACACAGAAAACGTAGAAGAAAAAGTTCTGCGGCAAATCCAAAAGAAACTACCCATCATCCCAAAATTTCATCGCTTACAACCAACTACATCACACCGATGAAAAACGAGAGAGAACATAGTCACACAAGGAAAAGGAGAGAGAAACAGACAGAGAAGGAAAACACAACTCAACCCGAGTTCTGCTTGGAGCCATAAAGAGGGTCACGAAGTCGTCATTCATACCGGATGAAAGGAATGTCAGAAGACACGAAATCGGCGTGGGTTGTTCTTTCTCGCTCCATTTTTTCCTTCAATTTCCTATCTTTTATACATGCTGGGGCTACAAAACTGTTCATTGCCCTTCAGTCGAGCTCCAAAACCCACCTCTCTCTCTCTCTCTCTCTCTCTCTCTCTCTCTCTCTGAGGCAGCACATGTGAATGGGAGAAGAAAGTCGCCTTCTTGGGGACACTTTTTCTGCTTTATTTTTTTACTTTGCTTCCGAGGGGGGCTCCATTTTCTTAACGCTTTCAAAACAGCGCCGGCGTCATTCCCGCCCTCGGGCGCAGCGGCTGCGCACTCTGCGCTGTTCTCCTCTGCATGCTTTCTCCTTCTGCCATTACTACTAATTATTAGCTTCGCAGGAGAGACACTGTCAGCCTCAACACTCTTCCTTTTCTTGTTCCGTTCTACTGCTCTCTCTCTGTGTCTCTCTCTATGTATATTCTCATATTTATTTCTCTAAATTCGAGTTAAATATCCTCCATCATTCCAAAATTCTAGTTTCCATTTACGATGCATAACACCTTTAAATACTTCGATTTATACTATATTAACATTACAATATGAAACATACTACTTTTTTTCTAATCTTTGCAAGCATATAAACGTAATCTTCCTTACAGACAGACCATCTGCTGCAATGTTCTGACTACATAGCTACATAAGACATATATGAAAGAATTTTAGAAGGGGCCAAATAGTAAATTGCCTGATACTGATCAGTTCTGCATCGATCTGTGTCTCACAGTCAAGATTGACTGACTGACTGACTGACTATGTTAGATCACGTAATATTTTCTTGTACTGTTTCTTCCCAACCTTTTCGATGTTCCCTTTTATCGTGGATGACTGCAGCAGTACCGCTCATATGGCTGGCTGTTGTAGGTAATGATGCCTCAACTCATCTGTTCCTTTTGGATGTGATTTCAAGGGAATCAATCCCATCTCTATTAACCAAAATGTCTTTTCAGAAACATTTTTTGGTACCAATAGATGTCTTGAGCATGATTCTCAAACAGCTCTTTGCAAGTCATCTATCCTCATTAAAATAATAATAATAATAATAATAATAATAATATAGAGATAAAAATTTTAGACTAAATACGTCGATCCAATACGATTGGGTTTGTTCGATTTTGAATTCCTAAAATTTAATAAGAAAGGATGCTTTTTGCCCTAAATCATGCATCGTCTTATCTCTCGGCCTCCGTTGGTAAAAAAAAAAAAATAATCAATATAACTTGATAAAGATTTTAATTGGGTTATCAAAAATTTAAAATTATTAAGAAAGACTCGATATATTTATAAATCTTAATAAGCTTACGCGAGCCGGTTTTAGACCTATAAGCTTTTAGAACAAGTAAATATATGTGCCATGTTACATATATTCTTAACATTGGGATAAGATAAGAAAAACTGAACACCATGACAAAGAAAATAAATCAGAATTAGATGAAGGGAAAGTATTTGGATCTAATGAACATCCAAACTACAAATCTTCTGTGCTTTTGCCATCATCACATTTCTGATGACAAGATTTCAGAAAGATGCCAGCTTCCGTGTCACCTAAATGGCAGAAAGAGGGAGCAGTACATGTCAGGTTTGGCTGTTCTTCAAGTCTTTACTTGTATGATAGATCTCAAGGTCTTGGTGCTTTGATCATTCTAAAACAGTGCAATGCCAAGTTGAGTGCACCAATGGAAGTTGGATGTTTATAAGCTGCTTCTTCATCCCTAAATTTTACTTTAGGCATAATAAAAAAAATTGGATCATCACCATTTTAATCTTATAAAAGATCATAATATTTGCAACTCTTTATTTTATCATCATAAAGATGAAAGAAAAGAGAACTCTATTATATTCATTGCTCTCTAATCTCCTTAATGTTGTCTAGGATCTATGATCAGATTTTGATACCTATGCTTTTAAGCATCACATAATTGTGATGCCACTTTGAACACAGACCACAAACAACACAACCATGTCATATTAGGGTTCTTTAATTTGTTACAGACTGGGGTACCTTGCAGATCTGACAAATCACCTCTTCTATTGCCTAGATTTGTCATTCCACCAAGCTCATCATGTTCTTGGCACACTACTCGAGTCAAGTGGATGTGGTTCTGCACTATTCTCCCTGGTATTTTTTTGGTGCATCTTTTGGAATGTATCTCTTTGGTGCTTCAGGCATCTCTTTTTCCATCTTCCACCTGCCAATCACTTGCATAAGGGTAAACCCTAAGCTAAGAAATGCAAATGGTCCTCTTCTTCCTCGTGGAATCATTCTACCTGCTGCAGCTTTAAGATGGCGTGCATGTGGTGCAGGCATCTCTGCTGATTGTGCTTTGTGGAGCCAACCCTGCAGTTGGCAGCAGTGTTGCGAACTGCTGGTACAATTTTCCATTTTCTTACTTCTCCTAGCTTAATTTACTGTTAATGCTCATCGAATCTCTACATTTAGAAGTTTCTTATTGATAATGATGAACATCTGCACGATATGTTGATTAGAGTTGAAGGTGTTGATATGAATGAGGTGGAGACAATGGAGGTTTGGGTAAAGAATGCAGCAGACTCTGGAAATGCAACTTTTCCAAGCTTATATAATGTTGTTCATCGATACAGTACACTTGCAAGCTAAAATTAAGAATATAATAAGGGTAGCTCAAGAATTAACTTTAACATCATCAGTAACACAATGATTTCTGAGACACTAGAAAACAATTCAAGCAAGGGGAGGATCTCTTTGGTAAGACCTTAAGCAACCAGAATGATCCAACACCACAACATTGTATCTTGTAACAATTTAATGCAGTTATGATTGATTTCTCAGCTTCCAACAACATGATATGTTCATGATCAGGATCAATAATACATGATGAGTTTTTGCTGCATTGAGGACAGCACAGAAACAATAGAACTCTGCCCCTTTTTTTTTCCAGAAAAGCTAAATGGTCATGGGCAGAGTGACCTCGAGAGCCATCTGCGGCCATCAGTACCAAGAGGAAGAAGGAACAACAACCATGACAGCAACAGCACGCAGTCCCGTGAATGATTTCCCACACAACAAAGTTGGTGCCAGTGGACAACCAAGCCAGAGAAGAGAGACACCAGGAAAGGACTGAGACATTGATCTTTCAGCAGTTTGTGCTTTCTCTGTTCTGTGGTCGCCATGGCATCTTCATCCTAGTTAGGTGTTACAGACAAGGAAATGACGCTTCGCTTTATATCCTTGCAGTAGACATGTAAGCCACTCACCCAACATGAAGAATTCGATGTGGAGAAGGGTTGACAAGCAGAGAAGACATGTCACCAAGCTGGGCCATGAACGGGGTAGCAGATCACTGATTCAACATAAAAAATCTGTCAAAAACAAGTACTGACAAAGTACTATAATAGATGTAGCATGAAAGGGACTCATAATAATAGGAAGCTCGAACAAAACAAGCAAATGAACAGTGATATAACATCACTTGGAACATCAAAGTATTCATGTACCATTACTGCCAATTTGGAATGTAGCTTAACAGTATGACATGAATCTCTCAGCTACTGAAGTATAGACCGATGGTCCGATGTAGAAGATGAAAAAAAAAGATACATGAAGCTTTTTTTTAGCATGCTTGATATAGGAAAGAAGATAAAAATTGCAGGCAATTGAAAAGATTTCTTGCAGAAAACATGTTCTTACTTCACACAGTCAACCTAAATCATCACCGAGTCTTCTACTTGGCCCTTGCAAGATGATTGAGTGGGTACAACATACTATGTGAAAACTGCAAGATTGCATGGAACTGTCTTTTTAGGTTGACGCAACCCTATGATCATGCTCAAGTTCTTGTAACATTCTAGCTGTACTGTTCATTTCTGGGTTTATGGAGCTTGTTCTTTATAAACACTTCTCTTCTTATAAACTTGAATTAAGACACACTGGATTGTTTCAAGTTTACCATATTTCCAGTGCTAGCCGGTGCCACTGTAGCTGCCAAAATCCCAGACTGGCAAGATGTTACACCACTCCTAGGACTTTTGTGAGGTTTGATGATCCTGTAGCTTCCCTCTTGGTTTGCGGCTCCTGACTCAGTATGCAGCATTAGAGCCTGAAATAAGAAAACAATAGATCAGGGGCCAGCTATACATTCAACAAAAATATCATGTCCAAGTGACAAGAAACGGTACTGTTATTGTGACACTACTTATACATGAGGACAAAGATGTACATCTGCATCAATCTCATCACCCCTTGCCACTAGCAGTAGGTATGGTCAGGAAAGTGGTCAAGTAAAATGAAGTTTCACGTTTATCACAGGGATAAAAAAGATGAATATTTCTTTCTAGAACTTCAATAATTTATAGCACATCTTTATGGTGATATGGCCTCATATATAAGAATCACTCATCCCTGCAGTTGAAACAAAGTAATCTTCTAATGCAAGTATATGTATATAACAAAGATAACTATATCCCATAGTATTAATGCAAAACCACATCACTTAAGTGTATGGAGAGCTTGAGAGAAACTTAAGCACTCTGTAGCACCAATTCACCCTTCATTTTGATGTACTCGAGAGCATGATGAATATGCTGTCAAGTTAGATAATCCGTTAAATAACTCATCTGCAATCTGCATTAGTTCATTCTACATCTACTTCTTGTTTTAATGCTGCAATATTTAGAAGCCTACCAATCGAGAGACAAATGTGTAAATAACAATTTACTGACAATTGAACAAACCACATTTCAATATTCTCAATGATGAAAATTTACCAAACCGAAAACGAAGATGCTATTGGAAAGCCACAAGCATCAGGTTCAGTTTATGTACAAAAACCAGATTGAACAGGCTGATCCAGTCGATTTTTTGATGAACTTGTGAATCAGCCAAGTGCAAGTAAACCACTCTGTCTTTGTCACCCATGCACAATTGACTAAATTGTTACTGAGGGGATTTCATTCCTTCTCTGGTAATACCAAGGGAAAAATTGTTGCTACACAGTCTTCTCATCTTTGAGCCCAAACATTCTCCCTCTCCATTGTCGCTGCCTTCTCTCCATCTCTCACCATAGACCTCCATGTCCTGCTGCCTCACATGTTGCCACCCTATATCCCTCTCTAGCCACTGCCATCTCTCACTCTTTTGTTGTCTCTCACTGTACATGAGAAGGAAGAAGGGGAAATAAGAGGGAGGAAGATAGGGGTTGGCCTGGTTGCTTGGGCTGAGGTGAGAATAGCTGACATTTACTACATCTCCTCGTGTATTTACGTGCCTCTGTCATCATATACGGCCAGTAAGATCCCGCAGACAAGGCTTTACGGGCCAAAAAACCGAAATAGTTTCCACAAATCCCTTCATGTCTTTATGAGAGTATTGCACGGCCCTCATCTGGGCTCAGGCATTTAAGATATTGCTACGTGATGATAGAAAACAAAAGAGGAAGGGGAAAATCTGCTGGTGAAGCAGAGATGAAAGGAAAAGAAACAGAAAAAAAGGAAAAGAAAAATGAGGAAAAAAAAGAGAGAAATTTATTACATAAATATTATTTTTATAATTTTTATTAGCACTTCAATCAATTGACCCATGTCTGACCAATAACCCACTAACCTGAGGGTAAATGATCAGTGCAGTTCTAATATCTGCGGTTACGAGTTATTTTGAGACTCAACTCTATTAAAATTGCCCATTCTTTTTAGTGGTTATTCTAATGACAACTAGGTGTTTGTGACCGCAAACTACATCCTTCCCTCACTTCCAAACTTCCTTTCATGTAAAAAGTCACAGCAGCTTAATGGAAGTTTCATGAATCTAGATCTGATTTTTTTAATCTGCTAAGGTAACAGGTTTGTTTATACTGGTCTGACTGCAACACAAAAGTCAAAAATGCATTCACACTTAATAATATACCAAAAGTTGTCATACTAAACAGCAGATTGGTGAAGTCCACAACGAATAAAAAGGTGTAAAAGCACATTGAAATGGAAGAAAAGCAAGCTCTGCTCATAATTATAATGGCTTAAGTAGACAGATGAAGGCACACTCTACAAATGTTAAGCGAGGTTTTCATGGTGACCAACTATATGCACATAACTCTTGCTGACAAGAAAAAAACAGTTAATATATGACAAAAAGACTAACTCAATTCCAAGTCAAGATAACAAGCTATGAATGCATAAATTGAAATCTCTTCAACATAGGAGCAAAATGTGATTGAAGTTGAACTTATGAAAGCCAGAACAATAAGAAACACTAGCAACAACGATGACATGTAACCGCAGATCCCAAATGTTTAGGGTCAACAACAGTTAATTCTCTCCCGCCATTGAGCTCTATTAGTGCAATATCATTAGCCAAACTAAGAGCCAGAAAAATCTCTTAGTATCAAACTATATTGTCACAAACATTAGCAGAAACAGAAAATTAGTGCAGTCTTCAAATGATACTTGCAAATTTCCTTGTTGCTTATAGCAGACACTGAATGAGATCTTGCTTAAGATACATCCAATATGTTCAATGACTAATCTGGCTAGCAATATCAACCACTATTACTCCTGGTTGTAGCATAGAGAACCAAAGCATTAATTAACAATACCTAAAAACGCAGTTGACACTTGAAACTTTCTTAAGGATGTCTGCCCACAGAATTTACAGTATTTATTAATGACGCTAGCCAATGTTAATTTGTGGACTGTGAATCTTTAATATAATGAATGCTTAGTAAATTATCATAGAAGTCCAGCATAATAGCTCATTTGATAAACAGACAAGTAAACTCTCCCCAGGTGTATTAGATAAAGAAGAACATCACATTATAAAAAAAAGATCTATTTCGATAACTAAAGTCCCCTTCACCCAAATCACAAAGGATGTGTCCTACTGTGGTGTCAACTTTGAAGGCTTTAAATGTCAATATTTCCTAATATAACTATCTTTTGTCAAGAAATCAGATAACAACCTTTTTAAAGTACCGCAGAATAATATTCACATTATGATTATGTTACAAAACAAGGTAAGATAAGAATCATGGAGAGAGAGGGACAGGGGGAGGGGGAGGAGGGAATGTCAGAATTGTGATCCAAAGATACTCATACAAGCAGTGTTGTTGCAGAAAGGCAAGCAATGCATGAATTATTGGGAGGAATATAAACCATATCAGGACCACTAAATTCAGGAGAAATGAACATTTTCACAGAAAAAAATAAAATTTAATCATGGCATCCTTCTACAACAAACTTTTAGAAGATCCCTAATCGATGTAGAACCCAGTATTTAATTCTATAAATTCATAATTCCTTCTGCATTAAACTTAAGTAAATAAGACGATGGTTAAGAAGTTCTGCATTTTTCACTGCACAGAAGAAGCAAAAAAAATATGTCAGTATAAACTCACAAATTCACCATCAACACCACCACCAGAACAGGGAACCCTGTAGAAAGCAAAAAGATATGAAGCAACAGTTTCAGTGACCCGTAAACAAGCTAACCTTGGACCATCTTCTGCAGTGCCTCTATGGCAAGAAAATCTGTCATGAGAAATACCTGGGGCACTAATCATGATCTTCCAAACAATCGTCTTGTCTGGTCTATACAGCCCTCGTTGCAATGTTCTTGTCATCCAAACACCAGCAACCCCAAACACGAACAAACTATTGTCATAATCAAAGCACACAATACTATCAAGGTAAGTCAAAATCCACCTTTCAACATACCTTATCCGTGACCAATGACGATCTCGGCGGAGGGAGTCCACCTTGCGGCGCGGCCTTCGTCAACCTCCGGGATAGTCAAAGCTGTCCATAACCTCAGCTTCTTCCCCGTCATCTCCCCACTATTCCAATCCCCTAAAGAACAGACATACAAGTTCCTAATCGATAAATCTGACGAGGCTTGGTTAGACGAAGTTGGGATGGTGGTGGGCGCCATTCTCCGAGGGGACTGGCATTTTGACCGCGGCGGCCGGCGAGGCTGTTCCGACTAGGGTTTCAAAACCCCGGCGAAGATTTTGCAGAGTAATTCACTAAATTCTTACCATTAAACCAATCGGTCAATTCATCAGTTCTTCCACCAACACAAACCCAAAGTCGCAGAATAAATGAGGAAATATTATGTAACAATCAAACCCTAAAAATCATTTTCATTTCAACTCTCCTATTTCACATTACAGATGAATGATACAAACATCAAATTGTCTTCCCGTAAATGACATTACGTACTTCCCCGTCAATCTTCGAATCACTACGCGACTGCACTCCACCTGATCACATGCCACGATATGTCTTGATTACGTTGCTATATGATATGATCACATCGTACGTTACTGTAGCTTAAATTATGGGCGTCAAATCTTCCACAGTGGTAGTAAATGGAATATCGCATATATATATATATGTGTACTTAAATAGATATATTATGAAATGATGACCTATTATTATTCTATTAGTTTGTGAGTATTTATGTGAAATTGACGGGAGTAATTATTAGAGTCAACGTAGCAGCCGTCACAATGTCACTGGATATAGACATGAGTGAAGGGGTCCTCTAATCTGACCGTCCACTTCCTAGATCATTTGGTTCCAGGAAATCTCACCGTTGATTTATATTATGAACGATCGTGATTCGACTAATTAATTGCTTTGTTGCTCTCAGTGGAAGCATTGGTTTATGTTATCTGGTTCTTCTGTTCCGGCTTCCCGAGAAGCGGCGACTGAGGCTGAGAGACTGGGGTGAGGGAGAGAGAGCAATATTATACGATTAGCAGGAAGAGGAGGCGGAGGAGATCCGATCTGACGCGGGGCAGTTGTTCCGTCACGTCACGTGATTCCGGCTATTAAAATTGGGGATTTCTTCTGCTTTTTTATTGAGAAGAGCGGTCCAAAGGTTCGTTGCCTCATTTTGATTCTTTTCTTTGGTTTGGGTCCTTCATCGGCTCGGAAGCTTCGAAAGAGCTTTTGCTTGCGGCTGCTGCTTGATCTTCTGTTGGAAAAAAAGAGGTTTTTGTCGTTGGAGTTCTTGTGATTTGGGACTGATTTGCGAGGAAGAAGATGGACAAGTACGAGATGGTGAAAGATCTGGGGTCGGGGAACTTTGGGGTTGCGAGATTGCTGCGAAACAAGGAGACAAAGGAGCTCGTAGCTATCAAGTACATCCCCAGAGGCCAAAAGGTTCGATTTTTTTTCATCTTTTTGCTGTATTTCGATCCAATTGCGTTCGATTGCAGCGTAATTTTGTTGTTTCTGTTTGGTTACCTTTTGCTGTGTATGTAGATCGATGAGAATGTGGCGAGAGAGATTATTAACCACCGGTCGCTTCGCCATCCCAATATTATTCGATTCAAAGAGGCAAGAAAGACTCTTGTCGCCGCTTTCCTTTTAGGTTCCCGAAAGAACATGTTTTTCCTCGGATGAGAGCTAAGAGCACTTGTCTTGCTTCGTTACATATAGGTTGTTCTAACACCGACGCATCTTGGCATCGTCATGGAGTACGCCGCCGGCGGAGAACTCTTCGACCGGATCTGCACCGCCGGAAGATTTAGCGAGGACGAGGTTAATCTCGCACATTTAAACAAAAAATCCCCTTTCGTTTCCGTTAATATAATATTTGTCTGAATTCAAATCATCACTTCTCCAGGCCAGATATTTCTTCCAGCAGCTCATCTGCGGCGTCAGCTACTGCCACTACATGGTAAAATTCCCCTCTTGCTTTCCCCCAAAATACTAAAAATCCAATCTTTAATAGCTAACAAGCATTCCTATCTCCAAATTCTTAACCCACATGATTGCAGCAAATCTGTCACCGAGATCTGAAGCTGGAAAACACCCTGTTGGACGGGAGCCCCGCGCCTCGCCTCAAGATCTGCGACTTCGGTTACTCCAAGGTCAGTCATCCCGCGATGCTCGCCTCCAATCAATTCCAAGAAATTTTTAGCTCAAAATCTCCAAAACAACTACTAATTCTTTTATTATTTCCTTTCTTTATTGTGTCGGTGTGAGCAGTCTTCTTTACTTCATTCGCGGCCCAAATCCACCGTGGGAACGCCGGCATATATCGCCCCCGAAGTGCTGTCCCGACGGGAGTACGACGGCAAGGTCAGTTCCGTAATCTCCGGTTCCCTCTCCGTATCCACTCTGCGAGCCGGAAGCCCGGGTGCGTGCAATGACTCGCTACGTCCTGAGCACGTGCACAGCTTCTGTCCTGCGTGGCTGGCACGTGTTAATATAAGCCGATCCTATGAAGCCACGTATGCTTTAAACATGCGGCTACGATTTCTTATAGAACCCATTGGGCAATTTGTGGGACCATCTTTTTAATCATTGCGCTTATAAGGGATGTTGTGTTGTTTCCGAGCGACGACAATGTTGGTGGGTGCGTCCTTGTCACTGCTTTCGGTGGGCGCTGCCACCGAGCAAGCAAAGTTGGACTGCTTTGAGGTTGATGACAAGAGGATTCGTTTTCCCGCGTCGCTTTCACCTATGTCGCTTGCGTTGGTGGAATTCCCCGTATTCATGCTTGTGATGCTCCTATATATATATATATATATATATATATATATCAGTTCCTTTTCTTTTTGCACCATTCCTTTTGGCACGTCTTTTTCTATTTTCGATGCAACAGACACTTCAATTGTCGATAGCTTCTCATTTCAATAATGTTATCCTGAATAGGGTGTTTGAGAGGTTGATGTTTGCCTTGATCATCTGGGGATATAAGTGGAAGGGAGAGAGAGAGAGAGAGAGAGAGAGAGAGGGGGAGAGATTTGGCCATAAAAGGAAAACGAGGACAGTTTGGGAAAATTCAGTTTTCTTTTCAATGTTTGTCTACTTTCTGACCTTGATGAGATCTGAACCATCTATTTTGTGATGCTTAAACTCTGAACACCTGAATTAGATATAATCTTGATGTGTTTTTTAACCCTCAAGTGTATTGGTGGACCAATGAGTAGTACCAGGGACAATTATTAGCTTGCTCTGTGCAATCAAAGTGCTATATCCATGGACAGTATCTTGTCACACTCTCTGAGTAATGAATTTTTGTATCATATTAAGCACAGTTTTTCTCATGAGAATGGATTATTGTGGTTGGCTTTTTATTGAGTTATACAATTTGATGCTTGGAAATTAACATTGGATTTTTCCTATATAACTTACTCTGATACTGAGGAGTTATGCAATTCAATTAGCTATATTGGACAAAAAGACAATTTATGTTGTAATCTTCAGTTGCATGCCTTGAGGGTATTTCCAATATGACTAGACTGCACTTACTCATTAATATGTTCTTTTTTTCAGATTAAACTTTCATCCTAATTGATATCTTGGTTAAAAATAATGAAATAACTTCATGGTCTTCTCTTTCTTATTTCTGTATCTTGGTTGAAATAACATGGCATATTATGACTTTCCTAGATAAATACTATATCATTTTTTGCTGAATGCATTGCAGTCATGTATCTGTTCTTATCTGGTCATTTGACATGCGCATAACTATCATACATAGAATTGTCAAGGTGATTTATTTAATGTTGCAGACGGCTGATGTGTGGTCATGTGGGGTAACATTGTATGTGATGCTGGTGGGAGCCTACCCTTTTGAGGATCCAGCTGACCCCAAGAACTTTAGGAAGACTATTGGGGTAAAAGCCTCTTGTATGCCATAACCTATCGAGTCACCCATCTCTCTTACTATTCTATCCCATGACAACCTCCTTTGTCTTCCTCAAGTAGGAAGCAGGAAATCATCTTTGTTTATTATTTAGATTTTGTCACTTAAGTATCTTGTTTGAATTGCAGAGAATAGTGTCAGTACAGTACAAGATACCCGAATATGTTCATATTTCTCAAGATTGCAGGCAACTCATATCAAGGATCTTCGTTGCTAATCCAGCAAGGGTAATTTCTTTACACCTGAACTTGCGTAAACTGAAAACCTTCTCAGAATTGCATATGCATATCTAACGACAGCATATTATATTGCTGGACGTTTTAAAAGATAAAAAGAAAATTTAATGTTTGTATTATAGTTATTTTGGTTGTTGACTTTGCTTATCTGCAGAGGATTACTATAAGGGAAATAAGGAACCACCCCTGGTTCTTGAAGAACTTGCCTAGGGAGCTAACTGAAGCACAACAAGCGCAGTACTATAAGAGAGATACCCCTACCTACTCCCTGCAGAGTGTTGAGGAGATAATGAGGATTGTGGGTGAAGCACGCACTCCTCCACCGTCGACAACACCAGTGGCAGGCTTTGGTTGGACCGAAGAGGAGGACGAGGAGGAAGGCAAGCAAGACAAACAGGAGAACGATGAGGCCGAGGAGGAAGAAGAAGAAGATGAGTACGATAAGAGAGTCAAGGAAGTCCGTGCTAGTGGGGAATTTCCGTTAGTTGATTAAATAAGTTCAGAGCCAAAACATTGAAAACTAGAAAATGAGAAAGACTGCATTCTTCCATGTATTGATAATTATGGACCTCTGTAGAATTCTTTTTCTGTGCTTCAATTCTGTGCATGCTGTGTATCTTTTCTTGGACTGCCGGTGTGCGTAGCAAAAGTGTCAGATATCTTACAAGTAGTTAAAGAGGGTTTACAACCAAGTAGTTTCTGATTGTTAGAGTGAAACATTGGTCTACTTTGTAGTTCCTTTCTTTCTTCTCTAGTTGAAACTTAAGAAGCCTTGATGGACTCACTTTGCTTACTCTTGCATTTTACAATTAGGAAAACATATTTTGTAAATTGAGATGAAGACAGCGTTGATTAGTGATGTGGAGTGGATAATGAATCTTAACATTGTCTTTTGCCTGCCACTATGATTGAATTGGATGTCTTTCAGATCCAAGATTCATCATCTTTTCTGAAAGAAAAAAAAAATTATCTCATCCATTTGAGTTTCTTCTTCGCGGCAAATTTGGGAACACCAAAAGGGATCATAACACCCTGAAGTTTATTAAGTTTAAGTTTTTCATTTTAAATATTTCTCCAGTTCTAAAATCTTAAATTGTTTTTATTTGGCAGCCTTACATTTCCTAAAAATAACAGGAAACAATTTGGACCTGAGAATCGCAAATGATGAACTCTTCAGTAGTAAGTTTAAAAACATGCAAACAAAGTTGGCTTGCTCTTCATCACATGATTGCATGCAAATAAAACCTCAAATTAAGTACTTGAAAGAAAGAGAATCCAAGAAATGCAAATGATAACTCTTTCTGCAAAAAGCTTTCTCAAGACATCATCAACAAAATGTTCATAGATGATCCTTGAAAGGAGTTTCTAAATCCATAAGACATGGAAACAAATATTTTCAAGAAATCCCTCATAAAGTTCATCATCACATGATTGCATGACTTCTCACGACTCATTTTGTTTGCTCTCATCATAACATCTAGTTCTACAATCTTTCCAAAAACTGCAGTTCGTTCAGATGCCTCTTATTAATAGCTTTGCATTAGTGTTCTTCTGTCCCGAGGGCATCGGCCAAATTAAAGTTTATGTTGTTCCTCATGGTCCTCCTTCCCACTCCTCCATTGCCTTTTCTCATCATCGCTACAAATTCGCTGTAATCTATTTGCCCATCCTGCATATACAAAACAGACTGAAAATAATCAGCTTATAGAATTAGAAAAAAGTCAATTACAGTTCCAAGAAAAAAATAAAAAAATAAATAAGAAAAGAAGAAAAAGATAACACCCACGTTGTCTTGATCAACTTCTTTAATCATCTCATCAAGGCGAACATCATCAAGACCAAATTCTCTACAAGCTTGTGAAAGTTCATCAATAGTTATGTAACCACTTCCATCTTTATCAAAGTATGAAAATGCTGATGCTAAATTTTCTTCTCGCTCTAACTTATTCATGTGCACTGTTGCTGCAAGAAATTCACCATAATCAATTGTGCCGTTTTTGTCAACATCAGCCTGCAGCCATTTCAAGAAATCTAAATTAGAGATCCAGTGCAAATCTAATCCAAAGTAATGAACAAGAAGAGTTGCTTGAGAATATTTAATGATGCAGAATAATTTAGTAGAATGCACCCGATGTCGGTCATCCATACCGCATCCATAAGCGTTTGAATTTCAGATTCCATCAGTTCAGACCCCACTTTTCTCAAGCCATCTTTCAGTTCATCGAATGTTATGGTCCCGCTGTTGTCTGTATCAATCATTTTGAACAACTCTTTTAGACCACCAATCTCTTCCTCTGAGAGGCTTTCAGCAATAACCTGCAAAATAAAGAAGAGCATGCTCTTACAAACATGCAATTTTCAGGGGAGCACATATGAGGTGTGCATTTTCAACCATGATGACAAAGGTTCATTCTGCTCTCATGATTTGTGTTTGATTATTTGGACTCTCGCAGCATATACTAGAATATCAAGACTGCATGATATAAGATGTAATGCATCATTCACTATCAAAGTTCCAGGGTTCCTAGTCTTGCCATGCAAAACAGCATAACATCTTTCTAGTGTAGTATAGAAGACATGCCAACTTCAGTGATTAAATGCATTTCCACCAGAAACATAAAAAGGGAAGAAGAAAGATTTAAGCTTGTTGAATTCAGAACAACTAAAAGGATGAAATGAAAAAAAAAGAGAAGATTTTCTAGCTTTCACAGTAAAACTCAACTGATTAAATGCATTTCCACCACAACACATATAAGAGAAGACTTGAGATTGTAGCATGGAAATTTCCAAACAGGATGTTTGAGAAATTTTAATTTTCTAAGGCTGATACTTTGATTTGCCAACCATCACCACAACTCTGTGATCAAAACATCTCATCATGGTGCGCAAAGTATTATGCCATATAAGAAAACCAATTCATTCACAAATCATATAAGTACATCTAAGTATGAGTTACCACCATTATTCACTTAATTAGATTTCAGTTAATTACTTATTGGTTTTTGCAACTGACCTAAGTGAATGTCTCATGCCATGACATACAACAAAGTGGCATACCTTGTCCCTGCACCCATAACATAACCAAGAATCTCCCACTTCTAAGTAGCATAACATATAGGTCGTGATAAGTTCAGTCAAAACTTCTAATTAGTTGAGAAATTTAACGCAGGAAAAAAAAATGGCAAAGCTATGGAATTGATCAAAATATCAGATTCTTTATATGGATGAGGTATAAAAACAGGACTTGAGTTTAATCTGGACTCTGGAGTATGCTCAAATGCCAAGATGAAAAATCTCACATCTACCGATCATTGTAAAAGAAGATTACCCGTAAAGCCATCTTCTTGAGCTTGTTCATTGCAGAGAATTGCTTAAGACGTGATAGCACTGCAGAGTCCAGGGGTCTATCAGGTGCAACATTGTCATCAAGAATCCATGGGTGACCTGGTAGAGAAAACCTCATGTCAATAGAGAATCTGAACTTGTTTCAGAGAACTTTGATTTCTGAAAGCAAAGGTCTTGACCAATATGCTTACAGAGAACTTGATGTGCTGTATATCTCTTCCTTGGATCTCTACAAAGCATATTTCGTATCAGATCCTTAGCACTATCAGAAATGCCAGGCCATGGTTGAGACTCAAAATCTAGACGACCTTGTAGGATCCGCCTGAAGATCCCTGCTTCAGTTTCTGAGAGAGAGTGAGAGAGAAGTACCACAGCAAAATCACATACCACAAATAATAATAAGAAAAAAAAAGCAGACTCAGTGATCCGTTATTAGCTTGCAAAACTAAAAAATTAACAGCAATATACCTGCCCAGAAAGGTGGCACGCCACTTAACAAAATATACAAGATGACTCCGGCACTCCATACATCAGATTCTGGTCCATAAAGTTTACACAATACCTCAGGTGCCACATAATATGGACTTCCAACTACCTCAGATAATGTTTCACCTGCAAAGTTCAAGTATGATGGCTTCCAATTAACAATAGAGGTACCAAAGTTTCCTATAAACTCTAGAGTTGGACTCATTTTGTGACATCAAGTTTTTCTCTCCAAAACAACAGTTGTACAACCCACTAAACCAAAATTGACAAGCTTCAGATACCTTTTCGGCGAATTTATGTAAATTCTATCGTTCTCCGAAAAAACTCATGCAAGATATGAAGGGTATTATTCTTCGCAAAATCATAGTGCAATAAGAAGTATTCTGTGTGTGTCTTTCTTCTGGTATGTACTTGAGTCTTTGACAATTTATTTGCAAGAAAAAACCAGCAAAAAAGTGGATAATGGATCTCTAATGAATTGTAGAATCAACTGAAATAAATGGTAAGTCAAAATCATGACATTAGCATAATCTGAATAGAATTTTCCCATAAGATTACATATGCTTTGATCTCCAATTTGATTTCTACCCTTCATAGATGTTCAAATAATTATGTATTCTTTCACCAATTAATACTTGTTCCTGTACCTAATTAAATAATAAAAGAATAGAAAACCTACTGCCTAACCCCCTTCCATAGCCCAAAAGGATATCATCTCTTACCCTTGTCAATCCTCTTCAGCTTTACCATGAACTATCTCATCGAACAGAAATTTCTTAATTCATCATATAGATATTCTTGGAACATACAAGATCTGAAACCTCTTTCTTGTAACTAGCATATCAGGCTCTTAGTCACTTCATTTGAATCATACATCCGTGCAGTTAAGCTCTGTTATACTATTATTTTCTGAATCCAGTCCAGGAATCTTGGTTTGTGTTAAAAGATGATGAGTGTTCACTCCATAATGATGGATGCAGAAGAAATGTGAAACATAAGAAGGTTATGGTGTTCCTTAAGACTAAATGAACAAAGAAGAGGTCAAAACATGTGAATCTTGCTGATAGTAATTATCAAAATACCTACCAAGAAAGCATGAAAACAAAATAGAACTATATGATACATCACCAAAATATTAGAGATAGCCAACATGATCATGGATGATAGATGGTGATAACCATACAAGTCCTACAATTTGGCATGTACAAAGAACTTCAAAAAGAAAAAAAAATAATGAAAAAAATAATGTAAAATGGACTCGTAAAACAACAATAATGCAGAAATAAACCTGCAATCACCTGAACATTTTATTTTATGAAATATCATCAAGGGCATATAACAGCATATGCTTTTTAAGAATTCTAAACCAATGAGCCTGTAGCGTTTGAGAAACAAGAAAAAGAATACCTAACAAGATTCCACTACTGAATGAACAATATGAGTACCACAATCTTAACAAGACTAAAAAAGGAGCTTACTATCTAGAGCCACTTTCTTACTATTCACAATCCCCTAAAAAATTAATAAAATAATATTTTATTATTTGCAACCCCTCTAATTTCATTTTTACTCTCTTTTTTTTCTTTCCCCACGGCCCTTGTTTATGTACTCTACTGTCATCGGTTCTCCCCACCACTTGTGTGCCCTATTAAGCAGTTTGTAAGGCTCAGAACATGATATGTTTTGGGCTATTATAGAATATTCATTATCCTGAAAGGGTTGACTCGTTGCAACAAATGTCAAAAACTATTTCTCACTTTCTCTTTAATCTTCAGTTTGTCTCATTTCATCGACTCTCTTTTTTTTTTATCATTTTATTGGAATTAAATTATAAATTGAGAACATATATATCTATTTACAAAGGGATAACTTAAGAATATTCAAAGTTCTTAATGAAGCTATAAAAAAAAGATTGTAAATAGTAATCTACTTAAAGAAAGAAATATTAGGTAAATAGCGAAAATATTTTATTGAAATTAAGGTATAAAATAAGAGCATATTTAGAAAGGAATAACTAGAAGAATATTCAAAGTTCTCAATGGGTTGTAAATAATAAAAAATGTTTGCAAATAGTAATCTACTTAAAAGAAAGATTTCTTTAATGTACATAAACAAGGTTAAAGAAGAAAAACCCTTTCTCTTCTCAGTAATGGGGCTATCAAGAAGAACCTGGCTTATAGAAGACAGAGAGTCCAAAATCCGTCGCTTTGAGCGCGGCGTCCTCATCGGCGCTGGCGAACAAGAAGTTCTCCGGCTTGAGATCCCGATGCATTACGCCGAGCGAGTGGCATGCTTCCACGACTCCGACGATGGTCTTGATTAGCTGCGCCGCCTTCCTCTCGCTGTAGTGCCCCTTCTGGATGATCCTGTCGAAGAGCTCCCCGCCCGCGCACAGCTCCATCACCAGGTGCACGAACAGCGCGTCCTCGAAGGTCCCCCTGATCCTGACGACATTGGGGTGCTCCGAGAGGTGGTGCATGATCTGGATCTCGCGCCACACGTCCTCGTAGTCATCGCGGCAGAAGAGCTTGACCTTGGGGATGGACTTGCACGCGTACTCCTTCCCGTCGTTCTTGTCGACGCAGAGGTACGTGGTGCCGAACTCCCCCTGCCCGAGCTTCTTCCCAATGCTGTAATGGTCCCGCAGGTTTGGGGTCTTGTGAGGGAGGACCGACGAGTGCCTGGAGGGGCGATGGGGAGGACGGTTGATCGAGGACTTGCTCATGGGTGCTAAATGGCGCAAAGACGAGATCTTGGGCTCTGAAATCGAACAAAATCGGACTTTTATGGGCACGTCACAACAAAGATTGCATCTTTTCGATCTTCTCGACGTGTTCTTCGGATTGTGAGCTCCTCCGTTGATAGAAGAGGGAAAGGACAAATGGAGGGAGTCGAGGAAGGAGGGAAGTCAAGGAAAGAAGAACAGGAATGAGGTCATCATTCCTGCACAGACCATTAAAGGGTCGTCTTTCCTTTTGCTTCAGTTGAGAGGGGAAAAGGACGGGGATCGATCTTTCTTCGTATCATTTTCCTTTTCCTCTTACCTTTTTTTTTTGGCTCAAACCATCAGCCAAACAGATCGAGCAAAACGAATCAACAACTCGTTGGGTGTCTTCTCCAAGTTCTTCAACATCAAGGATGATGATATCTCTGCTGCGGCACACAGATCCCACGCACAACAGCCCAAAATACATGCATCAATGTACGGGTGGGCGGATGAATGCTTTGACGTATTCATCTCCTCCATGCAACCAAATATATCATTGGAGTCTTCGTCGTTATGTTTGAAATGTCAATTAGCCTAATTGTCTCGTATCGATTGAATTCATGCTCTTATCGAACACACCATTGCCTTCTTTTCCCCTTTAATACATACATATAGGCTTTCTTTGAGGATATTATTATTTTCAAAAATATTTTATATTATGTTTTATATCTTACATAATGAAATTTTTAACAGTTAACATAAATGAATGAAAGAAAAAAAAAACCATTTTTTATTTGGCAAAGATAATGTTAGGGATCATCAGATTTTGCATATGCATAATCATTTTTGAGATTTGACTTGGTAACATATTTTAGATTTATAATATTTCAAATATTTTTATAGTAATAATCTCAGGCCTTGTTTATTTTAAATATATTTTTTCATCAATTTCATGAAATCAAATTTAAATATATAAAATATAAATTATTTTTATTTTCTATGATATAAGATAGAAAGAAATTGATGAAAAAAATGTTATTAGTATGTACTTACCGTCTTGCAATGTGTTAATGTTTTATTATGTTTCTGATTGTTAATTAGTAAAAATGCAAGTAATTGTTCGAAGATATTTTTATGCTTACATAATTACATCATATTAATGTATCCCCAAAATAATCTATTACTGCTCTTCCCGGTACCCTCACTATACCTGATTGGTGATTGGAGATAGTGGACCCCACTCGTCGCATCAGACAAGTGTGAAAGAATACCCTAATGTCACACGTTCTCTTTCTCTCTCTCTCTCTCTTTCTCTCTCTCTCGGCAGCAACGGAAGCGGTGGTGCGACGGAGGGAGCGGCGGCATGGTAAGCATAATCTCCTCCTCCTGGTGTCCTCTTCCTCTTCTATCTCTCAGACGACGCGGGATGATGTGGAGGACCTGTCCCGGCTCAATCGACCCGCGACGACGCCTTCACAACCAGTAGCGGTGAGGAAAAGGATAAAAATTTAGCAGCCCCATCTCTTCACCTCATTCGGTGTCGACTACTGGCGCTCTGGTCGGCGTCGGGATCAGTTGATGTTTGAATCTGGGGCGTAAGGAACCAACTACATGGAAAGAAAAAGTAAGAGAGGGAAACGGGAGACAATAGTGAGGGTTATAGCTAAACAGTGAGAAGATTATTAGATGCGCGCACATGAAATTATGCATGATCTTTAGATAGTTATGAATCTTATTAATGGGCATGGGAGAAAGCAAAAGATTACGCTTTTCTTGGTAATCTTTTCTTGGGTTTTCTGATTCAGATATATGCTTTTACTATGTATGATATCGTTTGCTTTGATTCAATGATTGAGACTCAACCGTCTTTTAGAATGATCGGGTAGAATGTGCCTAAATCTTAGACTTAATTACAGTATCGATTTTGTGAATTGTCTCGGTGGAAGAACTAGTTATTGGTAGGAAACACTAGTATGTTGCAAATCATTGCGCTGCATGATTCCAACTTGAGGGCACTCAATCATCATCACGTAGTTTAAGGAATTTCTTCTACCATGGAATCATATATTGTTGTATAGCCATGAATATTAATAGAGAATTAAATGGTTCCCCTTTTGTATTTAACAATTTGTTTTTTATTTGGGGAAATCATGCTGATATTACTTCAATATTTTAAAAGACTACAATTTATGGGGCACCTCTGACACTATAAAATCGGTCTTTAACATTTTTTCCCTTTTTCTTCATCTGCTAAGAAATTTGATCTTTATAGATCCTTTCTAGTGTATTTTAATGAATTATTTATTCTTCGACAATGCAGGCTGCAAGAATACTTGCTAACTTGCTTGTTATGGGTTCTGGGATATTAGGAAGGGCTGTTTTACAAGCATATCGTAAAGCACTTGAAAGTAAGTTTGCTGAGATATATGATTTATCAAATTATAGATGTTGATTTGCGATGCTAAATTTCTTTTAGTTTCGAGAAAAATTTTGTAGATTCTGTCATGTTCTCATTTTCTGTTTGAATTTTAGATGGTTCTACTCCATTCAAAAAACAAGTATCTGAGTCATTAGTTATAAAGTTACAATTGTTATAATCACTTAGTACCTGAAAGTCACAATCAATGGATGACAAAACATGTGAATTCCATACATAACAAGTGCAGAGGATTTTGAAGTTCTGAAAGACATGATGTTGAGTTCAGCACCAGTAGGACTGGTGCCTTATCTATTTGTATCAGCTCTAAAGAGAAAATTTTAAGATTTTTTTTCAGGCATGAAATGTTCATTGATCGCAATCATGGTTTTCAATACTGGGTCCAATATCAGTTTCACTAAACTATTCATCTACTATGGTACCGGCATCGGTCTGTACACTGATATCTGTTGTCTGGTAAAATAATTAAAAATAATGAATTGTATATAGATTATGCTTGAACCATGATTGTTGTTTACCAACTTAGATCAATAAACGACTAATTGGTTGTACTTGGGGATGGTTTCTAATCTTGGAATTTTAAGATTTCTGGTGATTGTTCTCTGTCATTCTGTGTTTATGAGCAATAAGCCACTAATTGGTTATAAAGGTTTTGAAACTTGGAAGCATCAGCATGTCTGGTGATTTTTCTTCTCTTATGAAGACAATTTTTGAAGCACTTTACTCCTTTCCTACCAAGATTTTATACTATGTTAAAGATATATGATCTTGTTCATCATATTGAACATTCTGTTTAAACAAAAAGGCTTCAGTGATGAAAATAATAAAAGGAAAAATATTATTTATTTAAATGGAAATGTTGTTTGACCCTCACGATACAATTGACCTAGAGTTACATTTTCCTAGAAATCATTGTTATGTGAAATTTTTAATTATTTAAATTCTAGATATTTATAGTCTAGCTACTCATTTGATCCAATCTTTCACTTAGGTGGAATATGTTTTTGAAATATTTAGACGTTTTTTTAGTTAAAGTAACTTGAAGCTGAGGACCTGCTTTAGTTGATCCATTTATAAAATACCAATCTTGTCAAGTACGATAAATAGTTAGATTCTACTATTACTGGTTAATTTTTTGCTTCTACATATTGTGCTTTTGTATTTGCATTGTCTTTCATTTTACCAAAAATTCTTCATTTACCCATGAAGAATTTTGGTGAAGTTTTAAAATTATATGTTGCAAGTTTAATAGATAGTCCTTCAAGCTTGGGCTAGTTTTCGTTGGCATTCTGGATTCAGTCATAGATATTTAACCCTTCAACTTGAGAAATGTTTGAAATCGAATTAGAAAATGAAAAATAAATCATGTGTTCCTTTTTAAATAATTCTTTTTCATTTTTTCTTGGGTAAGAATCCTTGTCTCATGTTCACTCCAAAAAATTGCTATTATTGTGTATGGCCTTGTAAACATGATAAACTTCATTAATTTGCATCAGACAGTCAACTGTTCTTCAGTCCCAACTATCAGGTAACTTGCCTTTTTTACTTTTTAACCTTCTTTTTTTTCTTTCTTACTATTATTAGCTCTCTTGCCCCTTTTGTTGCCTAAACTACATGATTAAGGCTTGAGATCAGCCAACTTGAGCATGAACCAGGAAGCTTAAGAATAAAGAGGAGCATTGAACGAGCACCCAAGCAATTATGGTGCAGAAGGATGTGGATGGAGGGTGGAGGGGTGAGGATGGGTATGAAGATAGGGATGAATTTTAATTTTGGGTATCAGAGATCTAATGTATGCCAACTTATGATTTAGTTATGACTTACTAGATAGCTATAGGCATGTCTATTTTATCTTGAGTTTGACATTTACATATGATATTGACTTTATAAATATGAACCACTTAATGATAATACATATGCAATTGCCCTATTAAAAGAATGTGTTCTATGAATGAGACCTGATGCTTGTGCTTACAGACTATTGTAACAATAAATGACCATCTCTAGAATTTATTTTGGTAAAAGATTTTCAAAGTCTTAAGTTTGATGTGGTAAGTTTCAAATTGCTTAAGATTCGAGTGTTTCTTGTGCTGCACTAAATTCAGTTACTGTAAAACTTCTTCAGATTAAAATGAGATCATTTTTCTACATTGAAAGACTAGCCAATTTTCTTTTCTGAGAATTGGTACCTATTGTGCTTGATGTCATTGTCTTGTAATCAAAATTATTTTATAAATTTACGACACAAGCCTATGGTTTTCTGATTTGTCAGCAGCTGATTATATATCCATATGGTTCTTCTTTATGGATATCTTAAAGCGGGCATACTGCATCCATAGTAGTTTTAAGGATCACTGCTCATTCCCACTTACCCCCTCCTCTCTCCTTCATTTTCACTTTTTCATTCTTCTCCTCGTAATTATGGCATAGTTTATTGACTTTGATTTTTTTTTTTTCGTTCACAGATATGTCCTTCCTTGCAACTGGCATATAAGAGCACATATATGAATAACTCTTAAACTTATTTCTTGAATTGTTTTCTGCAGATGCAAATAAAACCGGTGTTGCAAATGAAACTATACAGAATATACGGAGAGCTAGTAAGGCTATGACCGAACAAGAAGCTAGGCAGATATTGGGAATCAATGAACAGTCAACTTGGGAGGAGATCCTGAAGGTTCAGTATCCTAGTTTCTGCATTTTATGATTGTTATCATGGGAGGTTATGCTGTTACTTTTACGCATGGCATATGTTCTCTCCATAATGATGGCATAAAGCTTTCTAATTTATTCTTAGGGTACTTGTAGCAAATTATATGTGAATAATTTTTCTTATTTAACACAAATAACATTGTTTGTTACCGATAATTCACTCAGAAAATTAACCTTTGTAGTCTACCTACTCCAACTCAATTATACATAGTTGATCCTAGAAAAAGTTCTGTTGTTGATGTAGATAGTTGTTCTTTTATGGTCCCGAGCTTTTTTAAATTTTTTTATAAAAATATTTATATTTGTCGAGTCTGAATTTTCATTATTCTGACTACACAGAAGTACGATGTCTTATTTGAGAGAAATGCTAAACATGGAAGCTTCTATCTCCAGTCTAAGGTTCACAGGGCTAAAGAGTGTCTGGAAGCAGTCTACCAAGGGAAAGGGTGAATAATATGTGGAAGTCTGCAAACTTATTCGCAGCTATAAATGCTTCCTGTAACAATATTGCATGCGTAAAGCAAACTAAATGCCTATGCGTCTCTTTCGACACAAATTTGCCTTGGAGGTTATCTTGCACTTGGAATGCTGTGTTTTTGCACTGAACACTTCTAGCTGATCCAAATGCTTGTTTTAGGACCTCTCTTCTCTGTTCTAGATCCTGCTGTTTCAATGCTAAGCATCTGCTTGTTTTCCTGAAGAGTAAATGTTTCTCAGTTATTTCTTCTTGGCCAAAGTATTATGTTTTTTTGTATCATCATTGTGGTTACCATTGAGATGTTTGTTGTGCCTCAATAAGATATGTTGTGTACTTACGCATCAGACTTCTTTTTGGATATTTTTTTTTCTCGAGTAGCTCCTCATTTTTAGAAATTCCAAACAGTAATATCTTTTTCTTTATTTTTATTCTTTTTCCTATCAAGTGATCCATAAGGTGAACAATCTCAATTATAGTATTTTTACACTGCATTACAGTGTTTCTAGTAATATAAAAAGAAAATCCTATAACATAGTACAAAAATATCATGTTACGTTATTTCTATACTGCATTACAATATTTTTCTAATATTGTTAAAAATAAAAAGCACTACATTACAGTGTTTTTGTAATGTGTTATGATATTTTTCTAGTATTATTAAAGACATTATAGCACTGTATAAAGACACTATAAATATAATTTTTTCATTAAATTTAGATAAAAATATTATTTTATTGGTATTGATGAAAATACTATCACAGTATAAAATATAATAATAATAATAATAATAATAATAATAATAATAATATTATTATTATTATTATTAGATAAGAAATACTGTTCGAAAATTCTAAAAATGAGGAGGCTTCTTGGGAAAAATAGAGAAAGACTTTTTGCCAAAAGTTTGCCGGTCAAACTTATGCGTCCATCATTTTCTCCTTCAGATCGATCGATCAATCAGTCAAACTCACACTATCTATCACAAGTGGAGGATACAATGACATTTAGAGTTCCGTAAATGGTACGCACAATCTCGAGTAGAGCATACCGAGCTATTGCAACGATTTCGTATCTAACGTTGCAGCTTCGATGTGATGGAAAGCAGATTGGAAAGTGTAATATATGTGTATCTATCTATCCGCAGGAGACTAGCAATCATGAAACAATTTGTTTTAGTATCTTAGAAGGTGTTTGGTTCTCTTAGCCTCAATGTGTTCTGGAAATTGGAATGAGTAGGTCTCCTTTTTATATGTTTAGTTTATTCAACTCCAACATCTGAATCAAAATCAAAGATGGTTAGGTCGCTAATATAATTTTATCAACTTAAAACATTTTACTTGTCCATGTGATATTTTGTTTTATATCATTTGACTATATACTATTTTATATTTCTAGGTTTTCTATTAAGTTTCCCTTTTTTTCATTATTACTATTATTTTGTATTTGTATTATGTTGTACTCTCATTTTCGATTTTCATATGCTACCTTATCTATACATTTTATATTTTTGGTATTTTACTTCAGATGATTTTTTTTTTTAATCTCTTTGGGCTTTTCTCGAAAGATATCACATGTCTTAATTTTTTTTGATTTGGTGTCCCTTTTTCTTTAATACCCCTAAATATTCTTTGATCATCACCACCTCCTCTATGGGAATTATTAGTCATCACCTTTGCTTCATCTTGACTTGTTCTTGTTTGTGTCTATATTACCATCGAGAAGGACCCTTGAGAGCGAACAACCCGAGACCTTCCTTCATATTGTTGATGACCCCTATGATGAGGTTGTCATCGTGTCAATCTCTTTCTAAATCCACTTTGAAAGATCTATCGGAGCCTCACCGAGGAGAAACATGTGACAAGGTCAAGTAGAAAGGTAAAGGCAACTATAGTGGAATGAAGGTGACGAATGACAATGATCATTTGGAGAAGGTGGTGGTGGCGACGATGGACATTTAGGGTCTTATAGGAAAAAAAATATCAAATAGAAAAATTAAAAATTAGGCACATTCTGAAAAAAAAAGTTTCATGTGAGAAAATTAACTTATTTTTCTTTATCTAAAATATTTAAATCTAAGTTAACGATAATACATCCATAAGAGAATCTATTCAATAGGACTAACTTGGGTATCACCATGACTTAATCTTATATATTGACTTAGCCAAATTGCTAAATCATTATGTATTTTATTCATGTTCATTTAATATAATAAGATAGAGTCAAGTATAGGGTTAAAAGTAAATGCAAAGATCAAGTTTCAAAATTCTCACATCAAGAAATGTTGCTCGTTTATTTCACATGAGAACATTATAGCAATGGAGTGTCCACCAATTCAAACATTGACTTATTGTTGAACGATACTCTTCTCTATGCCTTGTGTATAAATTAATTGTTTTTACTTGAAAGATCATATCTTTGTGTTAGGATAAAAAATCATTAATATCTTGGTTAGCCTAATGTATTTTAGACCCATATGCGTAGGATTATTCGATGTGCCTTCGAGGTGGAAACATGGAGCTTCTGAGATGTCACCTACACAAAGACCGAAGTCGAAAGAGATTTTTCGATCTGATCCCTTCGATGTCCAAATTAGTAACCCGAGGTACATGAGTGCGAATGTGAGTAGTCAAGCAAGGTTCATTTTTATCATATTCAAGATAAGTATTCGTACTTGGTCAAAAAGGGCAAGAAGAAAGCTTGTGATTACCTTTCTAGTCATAAAGGGCAAGAAGAAATCTTATGATTACCTATTTTGAATCTTTGTCCATATGGGTAGACGGGTGGAGGGGTGACCTTTGTCTCCTCCTCCCTTTATAGATATCATGTGATGGTTATATATCGGATAAATGTTAACTAATAATGTATTCTTTATCATTTGTACTCCCCCCGAATGCATACTTTGGGGCTCTTGTGAGTGCGACTTAAAGTATGATATTTAATTCATGTGACACGAGAGTATTCGAGATCTTCTCTCATGGGTCGGGTTTTCCTGACTTATGCACCTCGGGCACATTTTGCCCTATTCTTTCAGTGTGGTGGATCTCGTCACACGAGTCAGATTTTTCCACTCACGTGCCTTAGGCATACTTTACCTTGTGTCTCTGCCACGGTAGATTTTTCTTCACATGGGTCCAGTTTTTTTTTACTTATGTACCTCGGACAAATTTTACCTTGTGCCTCCATCTCATAGTGGATTTCTCTTTATGCGGATTGGGTTTTTTTGACTCATATGTCTTAAGCATATTTGGTCTTATGCCTCTGTCGACGCTAATTTCTCTTCACGTGGGTTGAGTTTTCCTAATTTATATACCTCGGGCATATTTGACCTTGTACCTCTGCCATGGTGGATTTCTCATGGGTCATGTTTTCTTGACTCATACACCTTGGATATATTTAGTCTTGTGTCTCCATCATAATGAATTTTTCTTCATGCGGTTTAAGTTTTCTTAACTCATACACCTCAAATACATTTGGCCATGTGCCTCCATCATGATAGATTTCTCTTTACATAGGTCAAGTATTTCCAACTCATGTGTCTTGAGCACATTTGACATTATGCCTTCGTTGTGATTGATTTCTTTTTATATGGGTCGGATTTTTCTAACTCATACATCTTGGGCACATTTGACTTTGTGCCTCCATTGTGACAGTTTTTTTTTTCATACAAGTCAAGTTTTCTTGACTTACACACGTCGAGCACATTTTCTCTTATGCCTCTATCATAACGGATTTCTCTTTATACGAGTTGAGATTTCCTGACTCACATATCTCGGACATATTAGCTTTGTGCCTCCACCGTAGTAGATTTCTTATTACATAAGTTAAATTTTTTCAACTCATGCATCTCATGCACATTTGGCCTTGCACCTCCGTCATAGTGGATTTTGATATTTTTTGAATCTTTTATTAGATTTTTTTTAGTATTATTTGATAATGTCCCTTTGGAATTGTCCTGAAGGGACATTTGTCTTAATCGTGTGAGGAGAGATATTAGCTCCCTTCCTATAAATCTCATCTCACAATATGGGTGAGGTTCATTCCTCCATTTGAACTTCTAGAGCCTCCTTAGAAGCCTTCTTTATTTTGTTTCGAGTCGTAGAAGGATGAGTCGATCCTTGAGTCTTTCATAGTCTCGACGTTGATTCTGTAATAAATTGATCTTCTACCATTTTGGTCTTCTGCCTCCTCAGGTTGGGATGTCTTTCATTTCTTGTACAAGTTCCTCCCAATCTACTAATAGTTAAATGGTCAAGATCCGTGCTCCATCTTTGGACAATCCAAGGGCGGTGGAGGTCCCGACCTCCCCTATACTAGGGAAGGTAGTTTTTATGAACCTAAAGGTTCATTGGCACTTAGAGTCCATGAAAAGTATATATGACTATGATTTAGCAATGAATGCACCACTTATATATTACTTACGAGTTAAGTATTCCATCCTAGCTGAGTTCGACTTGAAAGTTTCCTGACTCGGTCAACGTTCAATCAACCCCATGCCCAGGTCTCTTTGTTTGTCCTACAATGCTCTCTAGGCGGGACTTCATCTTCCCCACCATCCATTGATACTATCTTTCCTACAATAGTGGAAGATGTCGCCCTCATCGGAGAATGCTGGCATGTTGACATTTCTCCCACCCGTAAACTTTTTGCAGCTTGTTTTCGATTGTGCAAGAGGAGAGGTGGCTATTACTTAGTCACTCAAGGGGGCCTGAAACTTAATGGAGCCTAGGGTTAGAATAGGCTCCATTAAACTTTTTGAAAAATACTAGCGTTCAATAGTGGAAGATTTCGCCCTCATCGAAGAATGTTGGCATACCGGCATTACTTCCACATGTAAACTTTTTACAGCTTGTTTTCGACTGTGCAAGAGGAGAAGTGTCTATTGCTTAGTCACTCAAGGGGGGCCTTAAACTTAATGGAGTCTATTCTAACCTTAAGGGTTGGAAGAAGCACTTCTTCCTCGTAGGTTCGAGTTTAGATCAAGGGTTCGATATTGCCTGGTCAACACATAATATACATAACACCTACCTTTCTTATCGAACAAGGAAGCAGGTCAATGTTGGAAAATCTATGGCAATATCACATGTGCAGCGGAAGAACAGAAACAAAAATCTTAGATTTTCATAAGAAAAATTAGTCTCTTGTTGTCATGTAAAGATTGGTGCATAAAAACCCGTGAAATCAAAAATTATGCATGTAAAATGATTGTGTTATATAGAGAGATCGTATATCCCTAAATTTTTGTAGATATATAGGAGACGATTAAGGAGATCAAATGTTCTCCT